AGAAGCAGTAAGACGAATGATCAATAACCGGGCCCGAGGACTAGAAGGACCAGTGAGTGTTACAGCAGCAACTCCAAAGAAGTAGATGCACCAGCAGTTGCCTCAGCGGTCGCAGCCTTATAGAGGAGTTGTACTGGTGTCTTGTTGCGAGCTTCAGTCCTATCGATGTTGCTTTTCCATCTTCGTCCCTGGTTGGCGTCTGTGGGTACTTAGTTCATGCGACAGGAAGAGGCGTTTGCCTGGCCACCAAGCTCATAATGCAGAATCCCCTTGCGTCGCTTCTGAGCCTTTCTCCCCGACGCAGCAGAGCCAAGTCGTCTAGGTGAGCGCTTGGTCGAAACCCTCACATGTGGGAGTTTCCGAGAATAGGGGGTACCTTATTTTAAGGCCCTTATAATAAGGATCCTACTATTGAGGGTGCTATATTAGGGTCCCCTATTTTCGGAAACCCCATGTTGCAACAAATTGACACCCCAACCCCTCAACTCTGATCCTGCACCCAAGATCAATGCACGTGCCGATGGTCACTTTGAAGTTCTAAAATTCCAAACCGTCTTATGGTCGCATGTTGCACTCTCAGTCTTGGCTTTGCTCGTGTTGTGCTTTCTATTGTAAAACTTGCGGCTGGGTTTTATATTGTAGTTCGTTCAGACTGGTAAAGATTGCTACTGTCCTACAACACCAAACCCCGAACCTTTGTCAACCACTCCGCACCCAGAGATCCTGAAGCACCTTTGGTTCTAGGAAGTATCCCAGGGCCCTACTCCACTCAACACATGTATTAGTCTAAAAGGGGTCTTTGGGGATCTAAACAACGAAACTGGATCCTTCACCTATTCAAGGCTCAGGTTTATCGCTTTCGGGACCTGCCGGGCGGTCAATCACAAATCTGAAGCCCAGGCCTCAAAAAAGCCCTAAACCCTAAACCCTAAACCCTAAACCCCAGAGCCCCCAGGCCCGCAAGTCCCAACTTGTCAAAACTGCAAAGATCAAACGAGCGAAGCAGAAGCCTAAAGCATTCATATAGGGGCCTTCATAAGTAGAATAGGGTCTTGGGGATAATCAGAATAAAAAGCATTAATATAGGGACTTGAATAATTAGAAGACGGTTTATTGGGGATTATCATAATAAGGAGATGCCATGGAGCACTCCAAGAAGCTCCGCCGCTCGTCGTTCGCCCGACGTTCCTGGCTCCCTGCACCCCGGCAGCAAGGATGACAGGCTGGAGGGATTGTTATAATATAGGCGCTTTAATAATTAGAAGAGGGTTTGGGTGTATTTTATAGTATAAGTATAATCAGGAACCCCTAAAACCCTGTTCTGCTTATTAGGGCCCCTGCATTATGTATGGGGTTCAGGATTGTACGACGGGGGAGTATGTGTGAGGAAATAGGAATCGGTTGGGGATGAGTGAGAGAGTGAGAGCTGAGCGACAAGAGGCCACAAGGACTTCGCTTTGAGCGACTACCGGGATTGCAGGGTTTAGGGCTTTTAAGTAAACCCCTAAACCCTAAACCCTAAACTGCTCATTGGACATGTACTCAGCGTGTTATACTGTACTGGGTGGAACCTTCCGATAGCGTGGCCGACAGGACATCACAGGGGAATGCGTGAGAGGTTATACCTGTGGAGCTCGATTTCAGGTACACCTCCTCCCCCACATGCGCACTACCCAAAGTTGCATCCACTTCATCAGGATGTTTTGTGTGTTCAGGGAGACCTTAGTTTGCCTCATGAAATTCAGGGATACGAGCCTTTTGCAAATCTGCCGTAGCTAGCCTTGATGTCGTGATTTGTTCGGTCTGCTCAAGTACTTTTACAAGAGACAGCGAGTGTTTAATGAAAGCTACAGGCTCAGACAGTCCCAATGAACCCCTCTGCGCCCAACGGCTCCCCCTTGCCTTCCTCACTTGACAGTTTAAGAGAACAAATACTACAGTCCTTTGACAAGTGTCCTGCCAAGTGGAAACAAGCCGAGGGTGAAGGTTGGGTATTGCAGGTAGGGCTTAATCCCAGGGATCTGAGTAAGATGTGTGTGGCTACGGCACCTCTCCAACATCTGTGTGCTAATTCCTGTTCCTACATTGAACTCACGTGCCCAGGGCATAAATTTTCCACTGTAGTAATAAGAGACTCTGCAGGTAAAGATCTGCACAGGGATTTAAGGAACTCGCACTACCCACAAGTTGTGTTGAGTCTTAGCCACTTTGAGGGAGGGTCCATTTGGATTGAGTCGCCCAAAGGAGATGTTATCAAGGAGTATTATGGGACCCAAGTAAGAGGTTGTAGATGTGAGCTATCCCCATTTAAGCCACTACGTTTCACTGGGAAGACGCTACTGCACTGCACCGAACCCTGGACCCAGCGAAGAGTTGTAATGGTTGCTTTCACTGTAATGGGAGCGGCATCGGCCCCTGCTTGTGTTCGCGAGTGTCTTGAGGCTGTTGGCTTTATTTTCCCGCATAGTTTCGAGTGCGAGTTTCATGCCACGCAACCGCTGGGACCGGGGCAGTTGTCGCAGCGACATTTGACATTCGGGACAGAGAAGAAGACAGGGATCTGGGAAGTCGGCAAACTCAAACATGATAAACCGTTTCTATTGTCTGTTTCTGATAGCGATGACGAGCTCCCGGAGACTTGTTTGGACTCTCTGACGCCCAGCCCTCATAGGTTGGAGTCACAGGAAACTGTCATCATGACTGGTATAACAATGGGACCTTAGAAGCTTTCAGCGTGCCCTTTACTCCAACAGGCGTGTTGTGTGTAAGACGCAACGGAGCCAAAGGCTCCATCTGCAGCGAAGAGCAGTCGGTTGAAGCCATCGTGCTGTAAATTAATCACGGTGATTGAGGTGTTTTGTTTTAATAGTCTCCGCTCTCTCTCTCTCTCCTCCATCCTCCTTAGAGCCCTATAATGCCCACATCTTTGCAGCATGTTTTAAACCTTGTGGTGGTTGGTTTGCTCACAGGTGGCACTTTGGTGCTGTCCTGGGAGGTATTTAGATCGAACATGTGGCCCAAATTAGGTGTTAGGCGCACCCTAAAAACCACTAACCCTCGCTGCTGCTGCCGCCATGGAAGAAGCTCTGCAGGACGTTTACGGAGAGGGGAACGATGCACGAGCTATGGGTATACGACAGCTGGATAAAGTGTCAAAAGAGCGAAGCATCCTGCTGCATGAACGAACGAGTGCAAAACACACTGGTGGAAATCCATAATACGAATTGGTGGGAATGCATGGTCTGCATGACTTGATCCCTGCATTGGCGCTAAGATGTGCTTGTGGGCTTAATTTACTGCATGGGCTCACGATTAGTCTCCGATGTGAGGATGCTATTCGTGGATAGCCGGGAGTCAACGACCTTACTGCATGATGCATGGATGATGGGTTTCCCTCCAGTGAGGCTACTTCCAGTGAGACTGCACGTTTACATAACTTTGTCGCGGTGGGATTGCAAGCTTATGAAACTTTATCTCGGCGCAACTGGAATGGCCCTCAACAAGCGCCCATTTTGGGCGGGAATTCTGCGGACTATGTGAGTGCATCCAACTTGCAACGTGAAGTGGTTATACCAAAATCGCTGCTGCTGGTATTAATGTGGGCTGTACCACTTGCGGTAAGATGACTGCTGCAACGAACATGAAGACGTAATGATTGCCCCATATGCCCAAGCTGGCGATTGACTGGTTGTAACAATCTGCGTGGTCTGAGCACTTCTGAGTCCCAGTGACACCATTGCATGAGAAGGCGCAATTGAAGAATTTTATGCATGTAATTTGGAACGCTGTAGATTTCCAGATTGTCTCGTGGCGTATGCCATCCCTTTCTGTATGTCATTGGCAGTACTAAGTTTCACACATGTTACCAAGGAGGAAACCTTGTACACCTGAGTCACCTGAGCCATCCCGGCTCAACATGACCTTTAGGCTCAGTATGCTTACCCTTGTCCCTCTTATTGCCTCCTCGGCGTAGTGGCTGAAGTCTGCGAACTAGTTACAGTGAAGACGTAGACTTTGGTTGGCACATGCGATTCGAAGTCTCTTACAGGTTCCCTATCTTAAGGGCTCGTCTTGTTGCTGAACTTGCATGTGCAGTTGTTTCACTTTGACGTTGACTCATCATTCGCCTCGCCTGGATTGTCCGAGTGTGAGAGCCGAAACCCTAAACCGTAAACCCTAAACCCAAGACTGTGGAAGGTAATAGGGTGGGGGACTTCGGAGGAGGCCCAGGCTGTTGGGCTTTCCCCTTTGGCAGTTTCCCGACTCCCTCACAGTAAACCCTGAACCGTCAGTCAGGTTTGTTCAGGGCCCCTGGTCTTAAGCTTCATAAACCCTCAGTTTCCTTGCCTTAGGTTTAGTCACTGTGGGTTTATCTTTTGCGGTCGATTTTGGGGTTTAGCCACCGCTTAGCCAGCATCAACTTGCGAACGCCCTTTCTTGAGTGTCTGCGACACCTGACCGCTCGGAGACCGTGCGCTGCCGTAATTAGCGCTAGGTTTCAGGGTTCATTGTAACCCGAGCGCGGCAATCCTCCGAGTGAAGAGAAGACGCTAGTATGGCAGCCCAGCTTGCTGCACACTTCTTGGCGATTTCACCGGCCAAGCATGTTGCTAACACTCCAGGTTGATGGATGAAAGCAAGCAAAGCAGCTAAGACAGACTAGCACCAATGAAGCCCGACACCCCAGGCATGGCTGACGTTGCCACGAGAGATCTCCTGCGGGTTGATAATAATGGGACCCCTAATTTCTCAAACGCGCAGTAGTTAGGCCATCAACTAGAATCTCGAACCAAGCAAACCCTAAATAACCCTAAATCTCGTGCCTTGCCGAAGATTGGGTTTAGGGTGAAGCAGAAGTGAAGGATAAAAATGCTCTACACCCTAAACCCAAGATCCCCCATTTGGCGTGTCAGAGTTGTGAGAGCGTAAATGCTCAAAATCCAGGTACACTGACCATTCCTTAAACCCGAAACCCTAAACCCTAAATGCTCAAAATCCAGGTACACTGACCATTGCAGGAAGCTTGCTTCTGGGCGGCCGAAGAGTCATGCGAAGACGGTGGGGGGGGGTGGAGGGCCGTAACTGTCTCCAGAAGCTTCCTGACAATTCAATAGCACGGACCCTTAGTCAGAGCCTCCTATTGGGAGTATAGGACATGCTACAAGAACTGGAGCTTTCATCGCTCGGGCGGTGCTGTGTTGATCTTTCAGCGCTTTTGGGCTGCCAGAAGCTTAAGGTAGCTGCTTATGGGGATTGGGCTTTGGGTCTGGGTTTCGGATCTTAGGGTTTAGGCCTAGGGGTTCTACGAACTGCAGGAAAGTTACAAATATCTGGACCTCGTGAAACAAATGACGTGCAAGATTTGTTCCGGTTGCGCACTGCGTAGAGAGACTTTGTTGGAGGTCCTCCAGTAGAGCTTTTCATTTCAGCCGATGCAGGCCTACAGGGCCGCCAATCACAAATGAATTGCAGCAGTTTCTGTGAAGCTTTGGCGGGGGATTGGTGTTTTGGGTTGTCGTGCTCTTGGAGTCTGCCTCTGAGTTTAGGCCCTGCGAACAACCTGGTCCGGTCTGACTAGTGGTGCAGAAGGTACATACACACATATATATATATATATTTATTTAATGGTTTTGCTATTCTGCCAAGCTTGAAGGAGCAATTATGACCTAGGGGTTGGGTTTGAGCGGGGAGTTACAGAGGACTAGAGGGGTACAGACGAGCATACTGTACTGACTATTGACAACCCCTATAAAAAGTCCTAAGCCGATTGGGCCAGCGCCAAGTCACAGAAGGCCAACACGGGCTTGTGCCGGGATGAATGGTTGCCCATGTTGGGGTGATGTTGGGGAATCCCAAAGCCAGCCATCTTACAAGCCCCTCATGGGCTTAAGGTGTGGCTTTATGGTTGCGTTGCTCTTCATCCCCTGGGACAATCCGCTCTTCGGCTCGCTGGTGCTCATCGCGATTGGTTCAGTCCCTGGTCTAAAACAGTCAGAACTCACAGTTTACACCTCCGAGAAGTGGGTTTTTGGCCTCAATACCCGAAGCTTCCCTCGCAGCCCAAGTTGTGCAACAGGAGGTTTGCAGATGAGCAACGAACGGACCACAGACCTGCATTAGCCATCTCAGCACTCCAACGCCCTTCCCTAACGGTGTCGAAGTCGTGTGCAGGCCTGCCTTTATCTCTCAGCTGCAGCTTTTCGAGCCTACTTCCGAGACGTGGAGCTGATGCAAGAGTCTCTTGTCTCGCCTTTGGTTAGGAGTACATGCAGACCAGAGGCCCCGTCGCAGCTTGCGAGGTCGTGTTGAGGGCCGGGAGGTTCAAACCCCTATATGCAGACTTTGATCCCCAAAGCCCCAAAGCCTGCTGAAGAGCAGGAAGACCCGATTCCATCCAACCCTTGGGTTCCAGATCACCCCCAGGCACATACGCTCCTTCCGCGTGCAGAATGCCAAGTGCACCTGCTGTTCACAGGACCAACGTATAAGGGCGGTGTTTAACAACTGTCCCGCTCAGCCCCTTTATGCGCTTTGCTACTCTTCCAGTTGCAAGGAGGTTTTTTTAGGGGCTTCCGCGTTGCAGTGCAAGTTTTTGCTTTTTTTTGTTTCGGGAAAATCTGGGAGGGCTGCGTTGATTGCGTTCTGGAAGCCGCCCCGCGTGCGTTTGACAAGCGACTCGCTTTGCAAAGAAGTGCACGCTGCCTGATG